TTGCTCGCTTTTCAAGGCAATCAGGTGCAATAGTTTCTCGCTCGGCGGTTCCGAATGGTCGCCTCTGTGGCAGAGCTGCTGTTATTGTTAATGTTGTTGCTGCCAGCACGAAGCAACAACAAAGTCCGGCCAAAGCGGAAATGAATGGATCGGATCGGTTCGGACCGGCCGATGACGATAGTTTCGCGGGCAAGCGAACAAGAGCAGAATCGGCAAGGAACGTGTTCTCCATAGGTCTGTTGCACGACTTTTGGACACTGTGATAAAAAGCCGCTGCATAAAGTTAATTTAAGTTCTCTATTTTAGTCTATGTTTTTGAGTTAAATTTGCCTTAAAGGTTTTTCCATATGTAAGTTACATACGCCTACCCTACACACGTTGTGTCCAGATTGTTAAAAAAAAAATTATTTGTAGGTTTGCGGAACTTATTTATACCACAATTACGCAATAAGTAGACTTTCTTACGTTTTTGAAGACAGTGAATCAGCCTTTAACAGTATGAAAAGCTCCTGCGGAGATGTTTTTTAAACTACAAAGTATTCATACTATTTTTGTTTCTTGCACAGTAATTGTTCACTCTTTTCCTCAGTGAATGCTTGGTTGTCTGTTGGCATTGTCGCTGATTATTGTTCCTTGCAGAACGGCGTCGAGTGCTTCCTGTTCGAACGCTTTCTTATCAGCGGTTGCGCCCGATGCTATCGGTCAGGGTCGTCGTCGTCTGTTAGGCGAGTTCACCGCAGCAGGTTGCTCCACCATTGCTCCTGCTCCTGTTGACAGATTGTATAATTGGCGTTGAATTGATTCGATTACTGAGTGCTGCTCGCTCGCTCGGCTTTTCTTTTATTTAGCTTTGCTTGTGAATAAGTGAAGTGAAGTCCCCTCCCATATGTACGATTCGGTGTGATGCAAGCAATAAGTAGATAATGAATCCTTTAGAAAGTATAAGGCAGGAAACAAATCACTTAATTTGTTCTACAACAATGCCCAATCGGTGCAAATGTACTAACGTGTTCCCTATAATGCAAATACCTTTTTCGAGTGTTGAATTACTTCATTAAAATATAAATATCAGGGATAAATTTATTAAACAAGTAAAAATAAGTAGAAAGTGTATACATAATTTTAATAAGTTTAAGTATTTCCTCTTCTTTCGTTGTATTCAAAAGTATAAATTAAAATTGAAAAGGAAGGTAACATGTTGTTAGTTTACTTGTTTGTTTTTTACTTACTTTGTATTAGTATTTTGAGTATTTAGCGAAAATAGCAATGATAAGTACAATCATAATTTGATTGGGTACTAAGAAAATCATAAAAATTACATATCTACAACCAAACTGTTTTGACAACTTCCCAGTTGACCATACTCAGAGCTTTCCGAGCGATGGAAACCAAACAAGACTATGCAAAGCGGACACCTGTTTTTGCAACACGATCGTTATTGTTGCTGCGATGTTGCTGCCGTAGATGTTGCAGCAGTTGGTAGTATAATGGTGGTGGTGCTGAAAAGTCCTCCTCCTCCTTCTGCCACTCGGGCCATTTATTCAGCATTCAAAACTCGTCTAAATCTAAACCGAAGCAACATGTGTGTTGTTTGCCAGTGAGTGGGTGCCGGCTAGCTTTCAATGGGACGGACACGTTTGGAGGGGGTGGGGGAGGGGGTGGTTTGTGAGTGGTTCAGGGAAGGGGACTGGGGTTTCCTCTGGGGGTGGCGCAGCCTCTGGGCCACCGACATATGTGTGTATAGCGAATGCGAATGCTGGCAAAATATTTCCACAACGCATCCTCGCACAAAGCACACGCACACACACACATTTTGAAAAGCTAACGGCAGCCGCAGCGCGTGTGGGCGGTTGCGCAACGTCGCTGCCTATGCCGCTGCCTCTGCCGACGCCTCTGCCGACGCCTCTGCCGACGCCTCTGCTAAAGTCGCTTGCATTGAACTCGGAAGTAGACGCAATTGAAATAGAGAATAAAAATAAAACCAGTTGGCGACGTGGGCCAACATGCAACATCAACATCATAACATATTCAAATCGCCAACAGCTCTGCCAGCGGCATTGTAACAGCAGCGTCGACGTCACCGTCGGCAGCGCAGCATTCGGAGCTTTTACTCTCACGTGAAAAGCGATTTTTTATCACCCCCCTCCCCCATCATACCTCCGTTGTTTTGATTTATTTGCTGCCCCGCATCGCGTCACGATTTAAACTAAACAAGCAAAGTGGTACAGAAACGGAACTCCCGACGCTGCGATACTTAGGAAATATTTGGAATTGGGGGTGCCCCGATCCACTTCTGCATTCCACTTGCAGTGATCGATCGATTCAAAAGTATGCTGCGGAAAATTTTGGGAAACTTTAGAAGGTATCAGAACATAGAACATAAAATGATCGGGAAAGTCTCCTTTAAAATAAAAACCATTATGTTTTATGTTGGGAAATTCGTACGATTTTAAGGTGTTAAGTTATCAGGCATAAGTATAGTCAACCATTTACATATCAATGCATTTGACTGATGGAATTATGACTTACAGAGACTTTGGGGATGTATTAGTTATGGAATCCCGAAAAATCTCTTAATTGTTTGTATATTTTTTCCAAATTTGAATATTAATAAAATGTTGTACCATTTCAATGTATCTTAAACAACGTTCCCAACATTGCTTTCCATATATGTATGTGTCTTCTGAAAACCCCATCTTCCTTAAAATAAGTTTCTAACATATGAACCCTGCGACGATCATTGGTGATTACTCCATGACAGTAAGGTGTTTTTATCGCCACCGGTACAGTCAGCACTCCCCCGCGAATTATGTAGTGCTGCCGATAATCGATAGCGGTAGCCCTCGTCCTCGACCAGTTGCATGTCCGTCATCAGCTGGAACAGAACCCGGACTACGAGCACCTTTGATGTCGATGGGGAATAAAAAATAAACCCCATTTCTCGCTCGCCTCGAAGTAATGACATCAGCGACTGAGAAGCGGCAGAGACGGAAGCAGCGAAGCAGGATACGGCAAAATATGCGACGCAAAATTGGTTGGGTTTGGGGATTTCGGTTTTCAGTTTTCAGTTTGGTGGCACTGCCATTCCATTTGCCGAGCCAGCAAGCAGCTCGAAAACAATCAGTCAGCGTTGGTCCGCAGCCTGCGACGGTCTGCCGACTTCTCCTGCGCTGACCTTCAATCAAGAGTTCGCTTAGGCTTGCCTTGGCCAGGCGAATTAGAAGTGGCGCGCGCCTTCTGGCCCGCGCCGTATGCAGTTGTATTATTTAGCGACTTTTTGGGCCAAAAGAGATAAGCTTGGCGAAAAGCAGAAAAACAAAAAATTGTTTCAAGGCGAAATTCGCACAGCAATCTTGGCAATAGCGCATAAAATAGCACAGAGCGCACACGAAGCGGGCAAAAAGTACCTGGCAGATACAGATACGACTGCCAGTGTGCGGAGCGAACCAGTCAGCCAACATCTGAGATACAGATACGAGCGCACCGTTGAAATAAACAAAAATGTTCCAGCAACAACAAAGAGGGTGGTGAGAGAGAGGAAGAGGGAGAGGCGACGCCGACGTCGCCAGCGAAACAACGAAATAGCCACAGCAACTCGAGTTCAGTTTTGCTTTTCGCAGCAAGCGTTTCAGTCGCTTTGGCTTAGTTTGCTTTGGCCCTGCCTTCGCCGCATACCACTCGCACACAGATACGCTCGCACATTCATGTGCCCATGTGGAAATGTACCTTTATATAAACGAAAACGAACGACCCGATACGAAACGAAATCCCAACTGACAAGCAAGAAGACACACAGATACACGCACACACAGCGGTCGAGAGATACGCCGATGGTGGTGTTCGTGTAGACTGTTAGTCAGCGTTTGAGCGGCACAGGGTTGCCATATGGCCAGAATCGACTGGGTTTTTTTCGGTCATGGGACGTATTTCTTGGCGGTCTAGGAAACTTACTGGATACGAATGTCTAAATACTAAGATAAATATTTGGGAGGATACTTATTTTATATATATTTAGTTTGGGACTTGAGCATGCAGAATGGTTTTAAGAAATAACATATATAGCGTTATATTTTTTGAAGATTACTAGATCATAAAGATGGGTCTAATGTTGGAATAACAACAATAGTTCCTTCAAAGCGATAAATTTACAATATCTATATTTTCTGAAGAAGAAAAGTCTTTACCTGCTGGAAAGTATAAATATTAATCAGAATGGTGACATACAATTATTTTATGAAGGCAAAGCAAAAAAACTATTCACAAAAGGCACTGTAATGCCTAAATATTAAAATTGATAATGGGCATATGTAGCCTCTGAACATTTTTATTACTAAAATACAAAGTGTTGAGCTATAAGTCATAATGTATTTTTATAAAAGTGTAAAATACAAGTACTTAAAGCCGACCATGCCGCTATAAGTTTAAACGCACACTCAGAATAGCCCTTTGTCAACCCCGCACATTTTCAAAAACTTTCTGTTCGATCGCCAACCGAAATGTCAAAAACCCAATCGACTTTCATATCGAGGCGGACGCTCTGGCAACGCTGCAACGGTTGCTTGTATCTTTTGAATACCCGCTCCCACAATCGAACCGAACGGACCGGCGGGCCTGGTTTGGTTTGCTTTTGGTTTGCACAACGTTTCGCTTCGCTGTTCGTAGTTCGTTATTTCGTTTCGTTGTTGGGATTTCTGCTTTGCGTTGCTGGGCTGAAATTGGTGGCTGGCAACGCCGTTCGGCCTCACACACAACTGGCAATGCCCCTGTATTGTGTGTGCTCTCGCTCTCGCCTCGTCCCGCCGCTCTCTCCCTCACCACCGCTGCTATCTAGAAACTCGTTCAGTTTCAATGCTTTTTACATAAGTGCTCGTCGAGGGAGCGGGATGGCCGTATACAGCGATCTCGCTCGCACCTATTCCGAGACTCACAGCGCTTGAACAGGGGTGCATTTACTTGCACTGGTGTGCGTGGCGGTTGCTGCCTGCTGAATGCTTCTTGAGCGCCGAGCGTTTTATTTGTGATTTTAGCACGGCGCTGCGAGGTTCACGTCGCTCATTCGCTCCGTGCTCGCCTGCCAGCTCCAATTCGAAACGACGTAAACCCAGCCGTTTGCCAGCGCGCGTAATTCAAAGTTATCAAATCGAAACACTGTTTTTCCGGAAAAAGTGCAGACCGTTAAAAGTGTGAAGTACAACCAACTGAGAGTTAATATTAAAAAATAGTGACCTCATTCAAGTTGGAGAACAAAACAGATAGTGCCAGCCATGTCGTCCAAGTACTGTGATGCCGCTTTGGGCCGCTCCTACGCCTGCTCGTCCCGCTTTCCTTCGGGACACCTGCTGGCCGCCCTCTGATCGCCCACGCCGCCCAGTAACTGACTGACAGGGATCATACTACCGCCCTGAACATAAACTCCATCGCGATACCTTTTTTTTCGTTTTCCATATTTGGATATAAACGTTGTGAAACTGAGAACGGCCCAGCCGAAAATGTGCACTGAGGTGAGTCACGAAAGTCAAACAAGGATTGGGTTCCGTCCCGAGTATTTATAAGGAATTCAGGATCTTGGGAGTATCTTTCGGAAGAAGTCTATAATATTGCAGATTTTATATATCTTTTAGTTGCAAGATAACTAATCTTGTAGCTGCGAAGACTAATATCTGTACGCACTTCAGTACGTTCAGACGTTTTCAATTAATTGTAAAAGTGCATCTTCAAAAGTTAATTTTAATATTCAGATTCGGATTCAATACTTTAAAATATAAATACATAAAATATAACACAATCATAAATGTTCAGTTGATTTACGATAACTATCTGCTTTTAAAAATTTAAAAGGAAATTTCTCAAATCTTTTAAATACATTTCGGGAAACCCTGGTCAAGGGCTAAAGTATAAATGCGATAAAGGCACAGATCCATTGCCAATTTCTCGAACTCTCTCATCAGCAAATTGAACTTGCCGCGCGTTCAATTCGTCTTAGGATTGATAAGCCGACTTTGAGGTGGCGCCTCCGCCAATTGGGGAATCTCTCAGGTGGCATACCGCACCTGCAGCACCGCCTTGCCAAATGCGCGTAGCTTCAACATGTGGTTTGTGCCACCTTATTGACAATGCGTGGGTGGGTGTTTGCCTCAGTGTTTGGCGATGTTACTGGTGGTGGTTTGGGCATGACATGCAAACTTGGGTGGAGGATAACGGCAGTCGAGGCGAGGAGTAAGGAAGGTTATCAACAACAAAAGGACATGGCAGCGAACCCAAGAACAGTAACAATGCCCGCTCTCGGTGGCTGCTGCCATTCAGCAATGTAAACAATGAACAAGTTGCACGTGCAGCAAGCAGGCTGGTCAGTGCCCTCTTTAACCCCATCTTGCCAAAGCACAGTAAGAAATGTAATGACCCTAAGTTGTGTAATGGTTAAAACAACTAAAAAAACTTAACAATTAAAGGATCTCAAGAAATCTAAAGCCAAGTGAAATTTCAATACATATTTGGTAACTCCCTAGTCATCGTCCATATTACAATTTAAACTATTTTAAAAACTTTATTGATTCAAAATTGATTTGATTTTAATTTTCAAAGAACTAGAATTAACATAATGAACAGTGAAGCTAATTCGTTTTTTTAACATCACCACCATATTATCATAATAACTTACACAATTTTGATTGCTTTATTAAAAAGTATTTTAATTTGATTAAAATAAGTATTTGTTTGACAATCATACTTTGTGTAAAGCCATTATTTTTATAAAACAATTCATGCGGATTAAAAATAAGAGTCGTTATACAGATAATGGTGATTTCTATATCTTAGTATGACCAGTAGACTGTTTTTCAGTGCAGAAACAACTGACTAAGTCGAGCCGTCCTTCTCCCTCGCACTTGGGGACCAGGGCAGGCATCATGCAGCGCCATCTATTGGCACACATTCGCACAATATGGTAATTGCCGCTGCTCGCGTTGACGTTACAGCAGACGTCTCAGTCGCGTCGCTGTCGCCGGCTAAGCCGCTGCGCTGCGTCTAATGCAACGCAACAATTGGACAGCAGCGGCAGCAGACAGCTGACTTTTGGGGCCGCTTAATTAATTACATGCAAACGCTCTTTTTCGGCTCTCCCTCATGCTTGCTCTCTCTGCCCGCCCACCTCCACCTCTCCTCCATCTTTTGCCCCCACTCACCTCTGCTGCTCCCCCGCAGAAAACAGAAACAAACTTTTTGGCGTCGCCGTCGGCGTCAGCGTCAGTGCTCTGTTTACGTTTTCTCTTTCGTTGGCGGCAGCGAAGCAGCTCGTATTAATTTCTTAGTTCTTTCGACAGTAAAGAAAAGTTGTACAATGCGTTTAGGTCATTGGGAATTTGCCGGGCAGTTGGTGAAACCGAAACGTATACATCGATGCTATGATTTTTAGAGATTTTCATAGAGATTGATTTAGTAATTATACATAAGCTTAAGTTCTTATACAAACACCTTTATAAAGTTCGAACTGTGCCAATAAAATTAGGGATTTAGATTCAGAGGATCCAAGAGATCTACCTTTCTATCCAACTTTATTAACTAGTCTTACTATAATAAGTTTTAGAGTCTGACTTTAAGAACTACAAATTTGTAAACGAAAACTTATAACGGCTAATATACCTTCACTTATTAGCAATCTTTTTCAAACATTAAGTTGAATTATAAATCATTTAGCTCGCACCAATATAATGAAGAAACTCAAATAAGATGTCCAATCCAAGACCCTTGTTTCCCCGAGTGCAGTTTTGACTTAAGCAAGTTGCAGTTTCAAGAGGAAGTATGATTATAAAACCCTACCTGGCACCTTTCTCTCTTACACAATAATCCATTTTGATAAATACATCTCATACCTTTCCAACGATTGTTTACCTTTTCCCAAGCCAAAGGGCATTTCCCATTCGTTGCAGCCTCGATTCTTTGCGCCTTATCTTTGTTCCTTTCTTGTTCTGCTTTTTTAATTGTTCTTTATGGTTATGTGCGCTGATGATGTTGTTGTTTTCGTTGCTCTTCGTCGTTTCGCCTGCTCGTTTGGGGTTTTTGGGGTGGTGCTGCAAATTCCGGCACGAGACTTAATTCACTTAATTGAGCAGGCAGAGCCGCCGGCAGCGACGCCCGGCGCGGCAGAGGCACTGGCCGCGTTGCCTGGCAAATAATAGTTTGGAGTTGGCGCCGGACCGGCATGGCACGGATACATGGATATAGGAGGCGGCCGCCTTTGCTGATTTCACTTTCAGATACATTAACACAAGTGCGCTGAAATGCGCGCGCCTTTTGAGTTATTGGTAGCAGAGGCAGGGCAGCGACGCCGGCTGCGCAGCACCAGCAGCCTCCTTCGTTGCCCATTTTCTTTGGCTCTTCGATTTTATGAATGAAAATCGCGACTTGGTTGGTTTGGTTTTGGTTACGCTTTGGTTGCAGCCGCGCTGCTATATTTGCATGGGTGTGTGAGCGAACGAAGGATACGCACACACATGTCTGATGTCTGGGGCAGCCATAAAATAAATGCCTTCAGGGGGCTTAAGCATTGAAGGGTGTGTGTGTGTGTGTGTCTGCTCCATTAATACCATTATCCTTGGATGCTCTGGCTCCCTTAATTTGCCCTCGCATCTTAACTTGTTGCCGGCTTCTTGGGTCAAGTGCAACACGAAAAGGCAAATTGCTCAATGAAGAATGTATAATCAAATAAAAAAAGGAGGAGTTGCTATTTCTTTTCTTCTCCTTTCGTTTGTTGTGGTGCCAGTCTTCTAAAAATGTAAACAAAAGACTGCCAAGGAAGGGGACGCGACTGGCACCACGTCGCATGAGCAATTTGAGTCCCAGTCACGACTTTGTGTCCCGCAGTTGAAACAGAAAAGAATTAAACTTGATGGTGACTTACCTGAATGCAATAAGGGTAACGCTAGTATTAGGGGAAATACAGATTTAACCACTTTTGAAATAATCTACGTCAGCTATACATTGAACTGTTGTAAACTAACATACTTTATCATTGCACATTTTTAATATCTATCGGTAGTCCCTATCAAGTAATATTCCAGTTGTTGTATTAGCACCATAAAAACGAGCCTCCTGTTAATGACTTTCGATTAGACGATGGCTAAGTTCAGGGCCCAAGATAAGAGCACATCATAAGCGGTGGGTTCAACAAACCTCATGTTGGCTGGTTAGGGATTTGAAGGTAGATCGCTAGTGATTCCAGAACTCGTGCTTATCGCTGACGACATTGCAAGTTGTGTCGTTACCAGCTGTTTGACCACATCAGAGAGCGTGGCAAGTTGTCCATTACAGCTCTTTGGGTCCCCTGTTGACCGATTGAAAGATTTGCTCGCTCATAGCATATATGGCAACGCGGTCTTGACTTGGCTTAATGTATGCCCACACATATCCACGGGCAACATACAAAGACAGCTGGCAGCGGCGAGTTGTTGCACGAAATCTTATCAATGAATGCGCATCACTTGCACTTGTTTGCATCACCTAGGGGGGGTGGGTACGGCTATAGCTATGGGTATGGCTATGGCTATGGGTTCGGGGAATTACCGGCTGGCGACGACGTAAATGGTTCGACGATGACGACGACGGCCGTGATGATGACGTGACTCACAGACGGTCCAGAGCAACAACAACTACACGTGCAACGGCCAACTACCAATGCACTTGCACACGCACACCATTAGCATTATTAAATCGCCAGCCGCAAATTTGCGGTTGCGTCACCTACTTAACACGCGGGCCAGGGACCATGGACGATGACCAGTTGGGGAACTGAGAGGGGTAGGTAAAGAGCGTCAGCATCCGTGAGTTTGCTTAAGGATAGCAGCACAAGGAGAGCGCCAGTGAAAATTTCCATTAAGCCAAATTAAAGTTATCGTGAGCAGAGCAGCGACAGAGCAAGGCTAGCTGCCCTCTTAGTACACCACTACATGGTTCACCCCAATTCACCACCCACTCAAGCCAAGCACACTGACAAAAAAAATACCATAAAGGAGCAATAGTTTGTTTTCAATTTCAGATTAATGCAAACAAAATCTTTAAGCTTTTAACTCTTAGAAAATTCAATTAGACTAACTTTAATAATAATTATCATAATGAGTTCGAAGGATATGAACATACGTTTTAATCTCGGGCTTGTTGGTAATGGTAAGACTGGTAAAAATAAAGAAAATTTGAAGTTGCTGCTTCGGTTACAGTCATCCTATTAAACTCAAACCTATCTACGCATATTTGAAAACCCCTGTAATATTATTTTCCTCTGTGCACTGTTTTTCGTCCTGCCTCCGCCTGTCCTCGCTTCCATTTTCATTTCTCTCATTGCTGTTCTCTCTGACAGCCGCCCAACCACCCACACAACGACAAACACAACAACAACTGAAAACGGCAAGAAAGGGGAAGGTGGAGTGGTAGGAAGCATTCCATCTCTCTTTCTCTCTTCCGCAGTCTCTTTCTCTGTTACTCAGCCCACGTAGTGGTGTACGTGCAATTG